AGTATTTAAAAAAAAAATTTAAAAAATTACAGACGTGGGATTCGTTTTGACTTTCTTATCTACTAACGCAAACAAAAATTGCAGTGACGCGCCAACCAATTGAGCTATAACGAAATGCTCACGCACAACGCTATGAGGATCTAATCGGAATTTCTGCACATTTTGCTCTGTATTCTCAAAACGGCTGGACTTGCTTATACCAAAAACTAATCAGTACATCTCCACATCAATACGAATCGAATGTTTTTTGAATCATTAAAATCGGTTGATCTGTGTTCTCAAAATTGTCGACAAAAATTTGAATCAGCACACACACACACATCCATTCATTTTTTCTAAAAAGGAGAACCCGCGCGTTGCTCGTCTCGGATTTTGATGAAACTTGGCACAATCGTAGATTTGATGTCCAAACTGACCGTGGTAAAATATTAGAGGCCTTTGAAAAGCGGTTTAATTATAAAAATTAATTAAAGTTTGCATTGTAGCAGCGCGCGGCATGCATAGCTTGCGATGTTTTTCCTTATCAACAGCAGATTGGCCGAGTGGCTATCGTCGTGGAATACTAATTTTTGCTCCGGGGTTCAATTCCCGATTCAGATATATTTTTTTCATTTTTTTTTATTTGATATTTATAATTTCACGTGTAAATAATATCAAAATTTATTTAATTTTTCAATTAATTTTATATTTTTCGCTAAATATTCTATAATAAAGTCCTCCGCAATAACCGGTAAATTTTTATTTTGATATTACTTATGAAACTTACGATCATATAAATGTTAAGTGACATTATAATTTTGTATTAATATCAGCAATAATACGGAAAAAAAGATATAATTTATTTCCATGTAAGAACTATGTTCAAATTTACAATTGTGGGGATCGTGGAGATTGTGCTGCAGTGAATAAATTTTATTAATGTTTTCAAGTCATATGTCGAAAAGGATTTTTTATATTAATATTAGATTCTTGGGCTGGTCAAACGTACAAAGTATCATCCTCATAATAGTAAATTTGAACATAGTTTTTAATTGGAAATAAATTATATCTCTTCTTCCGTATTATCACCTAATCAAATAATCTCCATCTGCACAAGTTAATCTTTTTATTTTCTTTCAATTATCTCATTATTTTCTGTTTATAAATATTATTGTTACATTCTGCATTATATGAAATTTTAACTTAGCATTTTATGTTACTAACTTTATATTGTAATTTTGTATATATTTTAATTGTTATTCATTATGTCAAATAATTGTATTTTTGAGTCCTCTTGGAGAAATCTGTGGGCTATATATTTAAATAAATAAATAAATAAATAAATAAATTATTGCTGAAAAGAAATGTCTTTATATTTGAATTTGACTTTATTTCGTATATTTATTTATAAAAATCAAAAATATTATTAACTTCAAGTAGGGTAAGTTATTGTAATGTATTGAAAATCAAAATTGAAAATTTTTACATTTCTCGACGTTTTGAAGGTTTCTGAACATTTTACTGGCATACCTCAGAAAAAATGGATGTGTGTGTGTGTGTGACTATGTATGTATGGATACAAATTTCCAGTCATTTTTTCGGGCGCACGGATCAACCGATTTGAATGGTTCAAAAAACATTCGATTCCTATTGATAGGGAGAAGAGCTGATTAGTTTTTGGCTAAGGCAGGTCCAGCAGTTACGGAGATAAAGAGCAAAGAGTTTAGAAAATAGAAATCGAGTTTTTGCGAGAACGGAGTATCCGATTTGAATGATCTAAAAAAACATTCAATTAGTAATGATTGGGAGAAGTGTTTATTAGTTTTTGGCAAAGGCAGGCCCAGCCATTTCGAAGATACGGAGCTAAATATGTAAAAAATGGCAGTTGTTGAGAGAACTAAGTGTCAGATTATAATTCAGATTTTATTTTTAATTCTGACTTAAGTTCTAATATACTTTAAACAAATAATTTCAACTTTGCAATTCAGTTTATAACTAATTCTTATAAATATTAGACAATGTTACAGTATTTATTTATAATAATCTATTTGAAAACATTATATATTCCTCGAACATTTCGTTACGGTACGGGAAGTTCAAGCAATTTGCCTTAAGACACGATGCCATACATCATTAGTTTATTGATTTTAGTTATCCTTCATCTATCATTCAAATAAATTAACTAACAAAAATTTATATATTTATTTACTTACCTTTAAATTCCTATTCTGCCAGGACATGCACACAAACTTCTATTTTAAATATATATTTAACACAAAAATACTATTCACATCAAAATATATAATTAATTAAACATATTTAAATAAAAATAAAACATTTTTCCCGTAACGTTTGACGTTTTGTTTCGAACTAAACAAAAAGTCTCACATAACCTACAGTTTTGTTTTGATAAAAATAATATATCAAAAATCGGATAATTATTGTTGGTAATTTTATAAACAAGGATAAAGGATATAAAGAAATGTTTAAAATATATTTTAGACATTTTTATAATTGTTCTTTAATATAATTTGTTGTATTTTTGCACAAATCCTTTTACTGACTGACACTGACAGTTGCAGATATGAGTAATGGCGGCGGTGGGGATGGAGCAGGATTAAATTTTAGTATTGCCTGATAAGACTAAATAAATATATATATATATATATATATATATATATATATATATATATATATATATATATATATATATATATATATGATTATATATTAATTACGTGACTAATTAATTGAGATTTATTCTCAAATAAAATTTTATATTTAATCCTAGCAGTGAGTGTCAATTGCTTATAGTGATAGTTTTGTTATATACTTTAAGACGTATATATTTAGTCAAAATATATTTATAAGATTCTGATAGAATTTACAATATAATTTAGACTTTAATTAAAATAATTGAGACTACTTATGAATTACTCCCAACATCTCTGTAGCGGAAATATAGTGTTGCCCATGTGGTAGCATAGTATTACCAATTCCTTTGGTGTTACCACATATTAAATTTATTTTTTATACAAGATGGCAACAATTCAAACTATTAACATTTATTTAACATTGCTATTTTTTAAAAAAGTAAAGCTTTTACTAATTAATTTTTGTTATAATTATTTCATATATTTTAAAAAAGTCTGTACGTCTACTATTGTAAACGATTTACTGGTTTTTAAATAAAAATGTTAAATAAATGTGAATTGAGTTCTGGGACACCACTGTAATTATGAAGATAATAAGAACCGTTTAAACTAGACAGACTTTTTTTACTCTATAGTTAATTATAATTAATTTCTCTTTGATTATTTTTCATATTTATAAAAAAGTCTGTCTTGTTTATTATCTTCATAATTACAGGGGTGTCCCAGAACTCAATTCACATTTATTTAACATTTCTATTTAAAAACCAGTAAAGCGTTTAATAATTAATTTCTCTGTAATTATAATTATTTCTCATTTTTTTTTAAAAAAGTCTGCCTAGTTTAAACGGTTCTTAATTTCTTCGTGTCCCAGCATTCAATTCACATTTATTTACTATTTCTATTTAAAAAAAAGTTGAACATTTACTAATTAATTGCTCTGTAAATATTTTTCATATTTATAAAAAGTCTGTCTATTTTGAACGGTTCTTATTATTTTCATAATTACAGAAGTGTCCCAGAACTAAATTCACATTTATTTAATGTTTGTATTTCTTTTAAAAAAGTAGAGCGTTTACTAATTAATTTCTCTTTAATTATAATTATTTCTCATATTTATCAAGAAGTCTGTCTAGTTTAAACGATTCTTATTATCTTTATTACAGGGGTATCCCAGAACTCAACGTCAAGCCAAGTATTAATCGCAACTAACATGATAAACAATTATTTCACATAATTTCAAAATTATGAAGAGCAATCTAGAGCTTTGCTTAAAATATAACTATTTTTTGGTTATTCAGAATGATTTTTTTATTTTGTACTTAATAATGACACAATCGTCCTAAGTTTAGAATAATTAAAACTTTCTGCTGAACTATAAATATCAAATTTACAAAAATCGGTTTGACGTTGAATTCTGGGACATCCTGTATGTTTACTCATTTTTTAATTTATTAAAAAGCTTATCAGTAATAATACATATTATTTTAGGTTATTGTCGATATTAAAACTGTAGAAAGTTTATAAAAAAAAACATTAAAAATGTTTCTGTTAAGAGATTTCCCAAATGTTTTATTTATTTACTGAAAAAGGTATTTTCCAAATTTTGTTTGACCTGAGAAAGTATTTCACAAATTTCATTTTATTTATCAAAATTCCCAAATTTAAAAAATTATTTCCCGAATTTGTTTTATTTATTTATTTCAATATTTCCCGAATTTGTTTTATTTATTTATTTTAATATTTCTCAAATTTAGTTTTAGTCGTTTATTTCAATATTTCCCAAATTTAGTTTTACTCATTTATTTGAATATTTCCCGAATTTAGTTTTATTCGTTTATTTTAATATTTCCCAAATTTAGTTTTATTTGTTTATTTCAATATTTCCCAAATTTAGTTTTATTCGTTTATTTTAATATTTCCCAAATTTAGTTTTCAATTTTTCCCGAATTTTGTTTCATTTATTTACAAAACAAATTATTTAAAAATAGCTGTTCTTTTTACAACATTTTCAGACACTTTACACTATTTTCAGACAAATTACAACATTTTTAGACAATTTAAAATAATTTCAGACAATCTACACCCTCATCAGACACTTTACAACATTTTCAGATAACATACAACTAAATTTTTTGTTATTTCAAACTATTTCTCACAGGCCTATAATATTTTAAAAAAATAAACCCAAAATTCTGAGGAAAATAAACCTGATTCTTTGTAAATTGATTTCAAAATATATGGACAAAAAAATTTATTACAAGCCATGGTTCCTTCAGCAAAGTTTCTCAAACCCACAAAAATCAAACACACAATTAATTTTCAAAAACGTATATATTACATCCTCAGCTGCAACTCGAGAAACTCTCCTCGTACACAATAATAGACACAAATATACACATATAAATTATTTATATTACTTTTATTATTAAGTGACCTACTATATTAATAGTCATCGATACAAACACACTTATTACTTACGTATACATGATTAAAAATATATATGTATATTAAATATATATATAAATAAATTTATATACATAAAGCACAACAACACTTTCCTCCGGCTGGCTCTCTAATTAACTATCTTCAATCATCATTCATCATTCACACATTATTCAAATCATCATCTGCATCGAAGAAATCATCTCGGGCTTGTGCATCTTCATCGTCTGAATAGTCTTCGGAGATGTATCTATGTCGTGGTGGAAATTTTCTTGAGTCGGTTGATCTAGATCGAAGGCCAGGGGACATACTCGAGGAAGTCAGACGAGAGGAGCTGAGAGGAGGAGATGATGCCATTCTTGTCGAACCTTAAAAGAAAGAAATTGATAATTGATAATCGAGTGGTAAATGATACAAGGTTGTCGACATTTGACTAAAGAGCCAGCAAGATGAAATTCAATTTTCACACAATTTCTATAGTCTAGCTCTTTCTTTCGTCGCCTTATATCTAAAAGGGAAGGCAATATGTAACATAGTGTCGACCGACATTAAATTCTCATATTGAATTCTATCTATCTCTTTCTTTTACCATATGTTTGAAAGAGAAGGCAATATGTAACATTAAATAATCTGGTGCATATTTTTAACTATTCTATCATCTATCTCGTTCTTTCGCCATACATTTGAAAGAGAAGGCGATATGAAACATAGTATTAGGCAACTTCAAATAATAAATAAAAGGAACTCTACTGACGACCAAATTAAATATCGATCTAAAAGAAGAAAAATGAATATTTTTTTGAAAATAGAGAATCTACTGACGACTAATATAAATATCTTTTTTATTTTTTTTAATATAATAATTTAATTTATTTAAAATCAAATTCATCAAAAAGATGACTCTACTGACGACCAAATTAAATATCAATTTCAAGGAAAAAATGGACTCTACCGACGACCAAATACATTTTTTTTAAAAAAGACTACTGACAACCAATATAAATCTTTTTTTGAAAAAAAGGGTCCGTTGATAAGTAAATTAAATATCAAGTTAACAGAAAAAAGAAACTCTACTGACGAGCAAATAAGAACTCTACTGATGACCAAATTATTATTTTTTTTAAAATAAAAATGACTCTACAGACGACCAAATCAAAGGTCAATTTAAAAGAAGAAAGAACTCTACTGACGACTAAATTAAAAATCAAATAATGCTTTCTTATATCTGTCTCTTTTTATTAATTTATCCGTCCCTTTCTTAACGCCTAGCTCTCTTTTTCAACATTTCTCTTTTTAACATATATTTGTCTCTTTCCCTCCATTCATCTATCTCTTTCTCTTCATCTATCTCTCTCTTTTTGTCCATCCACCTATCTCTTTCTCTTCAAAAATCTATCTCTTTCTCCTCATATATCAATCTTTAACTCTTCTTCCCATTTGTTTCAAAATAAAAATCAATTTAAAAAAAGATAAAGAACTCTACTGACGACCAAATTAAAAATCAAACTAAATGAGAAAAGGGACAATACTGACAAGCAAACTGAAACACAAAATATAAAATGTAAAAATGTTTTTAAATATGCAAATTAAGGGTCAATGTAAGACAGAAATAAGATTAAAAGATAGTAAAAATAAAAGGAGGACTCTACTGACGACCAAACTGAAATACTATATTGTTCTTTTTGGCATTAATTCACTTTTTACTGTAAACTTCTTAAATTCAGATACAATTTATACACCAGCAGAGTCCTTTTTCACTTATATTTTAAACAAAGATTTAATTTGCAGTAGAGTTCTCTCTTCTTTGTTCTAAAAACCCTTAAAAAAATATAATAACCACAATAACAAATTAAAATCCTCAATCATGTAACTCATTTAATAAATCTTGTTGCAAATGTCGTCCATAGACGACACCCGTACACACAGGTCTTCAAGCGTGATATTAATAGTTACAAAAATAATCATCTGTCTTTTTCTCCATCTATCTCTTTCTCTCCATATATCTTTCTCTTTCTCTTCATATATCTATCTCATTCTTTTCAATCATCTATCTCTTTCTTTCCAAATTAAAAATCAGTTTAAAGGAAGGAAAATCAAACTAAATGAAAAAAGGGACTCTACTGCCGAGCAAACTGAAACACAAGATATAAAAAGTAAAAAAGTCTCTAAATATGCAAAATAAGGGTCAATGTAAGATAGAAATAAGTTTCTACAAAAGATAAAATTAGAAAATAAACTGAAATTAAAAAAGGACTCTACTGACGAGTATACTATATATATACTATATTGTTAATGTTCTTTTTGGCATTAATTCACTTTTTACTTTCTGAGATTCTTGAATGCAAATACAATTTATACACCAGCAGAGTCCCTTTTCACATTTATTTTAAACAAAGATTTAATTTGCTAGTCAGTAGAGTTCTTTTTTCTTTGTTCTAAAAAACCTTCGAAAAATATATGTATATATGTATAATAACCACAGTAACGAATTAAAATCCTCAATCATGTAACTCATTGATAAATATTAAAACAAAAGTCTATACACTGGATGTCGTCCATAAACGACACCCGTACACACAGGTCGTCGTCAAGCGAGACATTTAGACAGTTACAAAAATAATTATTACCGTCGCGTCGGGCGCATTTTGCAGGAGGTGGTGCCGAGGACGAGGTGACGTCACTCGAACAAGTGACGTCACTGCCGGCGCATCCACTGGTGACGTCATCGCCGTTAATTGACGACTCGGGTGATCCTGGGGGCGACAGGGCTTGTATGATGCGTCCTTTGCCTTCGTTCCACATATGAGACTGAAAAGCAAAAAAATATAAATAAACTATGCTGAAGGGGTATTTACAAGTAGCATGAACATCCATATATATTTTCCTCTTACCAGTCTCTCTCGTCCAAACAGCAACAAAAAGGCATCGATAAAATCTCTACTCTTCTCCTCCCACTTCGTGATCATATCAACTTTCTTCTCACCGATATTATTCATAACCTTCTTCCCTTTATCTTTTAACTCGTCCATTTTATTCTGGAACCTAAACTTCTTCTCGTTGAGAAACGATACATTCAATTCTTTAGCCGAGTAACCTCGTGCCAGATTCCTCCTCACATAGATATCATAGTCTCGGACTATTCGGGCAACTATGTCTGACGTGGAGACACCTGGGTAAAGGAATAAGATTTAGATATTTGTGTTGTGTTAATTAAAATTAATTTATTTATTTATTTATTACCTTCTGTCCTTTCTGTGGCCACAAACATTCCTTTAGCTTTGATCGCTGCATACAAATCATTCGAATTCTCACTCTCGTAAGGCAGTTCATCGTGTGCTACAAAATCTATTTTGTGTTTTTGTTAAAAATTCCTCGTCCAATTCCCATGGGGCATCTCTCACAACCTTAAAGGATAATTGATAGATATAAACCATTTATGAAAATATTTAGAATAATGTCGAGTGATCATCAATTGAAAACAATTAATTGATTATATAATAACACAAATAGTAATTTGGACCATTGTTCAGTCATTTATGATTAATCTATCTCTTTCTATTAATTTATTTGTCTCTTTCTATTCTTCTAACTTCCCTTTTCTCTTCATCTATCTCTTTCTTTATATTTATTTGTATATTAATATTTATAAATATTTGTATATTTATATCTATATTTATTTATATATTTATATTTATATTTATTTGTATATTTATATTTATATTTATATATACTATCTGTCTCTTTCTTCTCATCTATCTATCTCTTTCTTCAGATCTATCTATCTTTTTCTCTCCATCTATCTATCACTTGCTCTTCATATATATGTCCCTTTCTCTTCATCTATCTATCTCTTTCTTTAAATTTAAAGTTTATTCGGTTTGTTTCTAATTTTATTACCTCGTCTACATATCTGCAATGCCTGATTGCCTCATATCGTTCTGTATCAGTCATCACGGTCCTGCCTTTTCGACTGTGGGTCAGAGCATCGCTACAAACTGCAAAAAAAATTGGAAAAATTAAAATTTATTTGATATATTTAATCTGTCTGTCTATTTTTCTATCCATTGATATGTCTATTTGTCTATTCACATGAACTTAAGTCTATTTCTCTATCTGCCCCTAAATCTGTCTCAATTTATATCCATGTCCTGCCAATTTTCTATTCATATATCTTAGTATCTATACATATCCAACTTTCTGTTTATCTCTGTATAATTATCTAAACATCCTAATTTTATTATCTGTGCCTTTTTCTTCGTGTACCTATCCCTTCCTTTTGCTTTATCTGTCCTTTTCTCTTTATCTCGTCTATTTCATTTTTAATCTTTTGATCTCTTTCTTTGAATATATCTGTCCCTTTTCATTTTCCATTTTTGCGATTACTATAACTTATCCTATGAGAAGTTAATGAATTAAGTGTAAGTGGCATTTCGCCTTAAAGAAGATTAGGTGTACTTGACATTTCGCCCTAAATGGATCTTTGCATGATCCTTACCATAAAAAAATGAAAACTTTATTGACTACTATTTACGCATTTCTTCGTGTACTTATCTTTTTCTTATCCTCTATATGTCCCTTTCTCTTTATCTATCTGTAAATCTCATTTTTAATCTATCGATCTCATTCTTTAAATATATCTGTCCCTTTTCCATTATCTATTCCTTTATCTGTCTCTTTCTCATTATATATATGTATTTTTTTTAATCTATCGATCTCTTTCTTCAAATATATCTGTCCCTTTTTCATTATCTATTCCTTTATCTGTCTCTTTCTCATTATATATCTGTATCTCTTTAATCTATCGATCTTCTTTTTAAATATATCTGTCCCTTTTCCTTGTGTACCTATCTCTTTCTATTTCTCTATCTGTCCCTTTCTCTTTATCTATCTGTCCATCTCATTTTTAATCATTCTATCTCTTTCTTTAAATATATCTGTCCTTTTCTTCGTATACCTATCTCTGTCTCTTCCTCTATCTGTCCCTTTCTCTTTATATATCTGTCTATTTCTTTCTTACTCTATCGATCTCTTTCTTTAAATATATCTGTCCTTTTCTTCGTGTACCTATCTCGTTCTCTTCCTCTATCTGTCCCTTTCTTTTTATATATCTATCTTTTTCTATTAGTCTACAGTCAACCCTCGGTTAACACGGCACTCTGGGTGCACGGTTTCCATACTACGTGGAGCTAAAAATCCGACATCCCTCCGACTACACGGACTTCCTATTACACGGTTTTTGTTCAACAGCCCGTAAGTTCATTGCGCAACCTATGAGTGATTATAGAAACTTGATATCAAAAGGGTATTAATGTGAGTTTTATTATCGACTTTTATCTTTTAGACATGCCTGATTATATATTAGCTGCCTAAGAACACGTTTGAACTGACCGATTGCGTCGCGCTATTTTTTGAATGAGTTGTCTATGTCATACATGTCATTTCATCCGCATTACTCCTACTTCAAGTTGTATTTCTTGGTCTCCATACAGCACGATAAAAATGGTGCGATTTGTATTAACTCTGAGTCTCTCGGTTCCCATACTGCACTATCTATAAGGTTCCATAGAACGCACTACGATTTCGCTTGAATTGCATGTTAAATACGAGTTTTTTATAGCACGGTTTCTATACTGCACGGTACGGACTTGCCGCGTTAACCGAGGGTTGACTGAATTTTGTATTAATCTATCTTTCCCTTTCTATTAATCTATCTTTCCCTTTCTATTAATCTATGTATCTCTTTCTCATAATCCGTCTCTCATTTTTTCATCTTTTTATAAATTAACCGCAAACCGCAGCAAACCCGACGAACTCCGTTTCGCCACCAGATGGTTCCGTGAGAAAGATGAAGAAATTTTTTGTTTGTTTTATATTTGAAAAGAAAAAATGTGATTTTATCGTATAACAGTAATGAATATATTTCGATTACAAAAATGAAGTGATTTTTAGTTGAACTTCTCTAAGTAAATGAAAGTGAATCCGCAAATTATCCGTTTCATTGAAGTGCTCTTTGGTAAACCACATTTTTTGTTTTGTAGTGTGACGTTAACACAAACAAAGCGGATGGTTTTCCAACTAGTGAACAGACAACGTATAACTGCCCATGTAAAAAACAATGATTTTATAAATAATCTATTTGAAATTTATCCCGCAAACGCTAAGTGACTGGCCTTGCGGCTTGTTAATTGTCATTGCGAACACAAGGCGAACTATAAATTGCAATCGTTTGAAATCAAACGGAAGACCAGTCGGAATCATTGGTATGTCACAAAATCGCCAGCAATTTTTGATTGAATGGTGAAATTCAGTGCGTGTACATCATTATTCTTTGCGGCAAGAATTGCTCGTTGAAATAACCAAGCATAATTCTGATAATTCTCACTAATGTCATTACTCAAATTTTTAGCTACGGTGCGTGAAGTTCCTGCAATTTGCATTAAGGCACGATGCCATGCACCACTAATTTTCTTAGCTATAAACCTTTTGTCGAAATCGGTTCGTGCGTTCTGGAGTTATATCGTCAGGAAAGAAAATCCGACTTATTTTTATATATATGTAGATTAGATATCTCTATTTTTTGCCTGACTATCTATCTATGAACTGCTACCTCTCTAATTTTATATTTTTACAAAAATTTCACTTTCATCCATGTATCTTTTAGCTCACCTCCTACAATGAGATAGACGTTGGGAAATACGTTCTTCGCCTGCAGCAGCTGCCTGGCGTGCCCCTGGTGGAAGAGGTCGTAGATGCCGTCGGCGTAGACGCGAACCTTCCTCGGCGCCATCCCCGACTTGGCCTCGGCGTAGGTGATGCGACGGCCGTAGTCGCAGGCGTCGCGCACGTCGCGAGCCCTCGGCTCGTCCGAGAAAGGGGCCTCAAGGCATATCGAGGAACTCTGGGGAAAAGAAACAGAAAAGGTTTTGACACTGTCAACGTCTGAAAACAAATATAACAGATCAATGTTATGGCAAGGTTATGTTATGAAAAACTTTCCATATTAAATGTTGGCAAAAGCAGTGGCGGCGCTAGACCATGCGTGGGCGTCGGCGAAATTCGTTTGCGAGCCCCCCCCCCTTTTTCCCAGTTAAAGTTGCTGAAAATTGTTCCCCCTTTTTCCCAGTTAAAGTTGTTGCAAATTGCTGAAACTTCGCGTGCCGCAATTTAAATGTTTTAAAAGCTTTAAAAAAACTTGAAAACTTTGAAAGTAATTGACATTTTTTTAAACTGAAATATTTTTTTATATTTTGAAAATTTAGAACTTTTTTCAAACAGCCGCGTTGTAATCAAACGATTATACATTGGTACGGAACGCATAGAAATGTAAACAAATACTAATTATTAAAATTTTTATAAAGTATCTGATAATTTAATGTGCATTTGTCTAATGATAATTTTTGTCCGCCAAATGGCATTTTTTTACTTTTTAAATAAGCTAGACCTACCTTCCTACTATATATTGTGCATCATTCCTATTATATTATTGTTATTTTGTTATATTTTATTATTTTTCTAGTATTATTTTATTATTCAGAAATTTTATTTATATTATTTATTAATTTTATTTTTATTATTATTTGCTTATATTTTACATTAAATCATATTTTGGATATTATTTTCATGTAAATTTTATCCTTTGCTCTTTAATTTAATTAAATTTATATTATTATTTATAAATATTACTTGATGTTAATAAATTAGCAGTTGTAATAATTATTGAAATTAAAAAAAAAAAAATCATATTATATATTCCTATCATATTTTGTACAGAGCGGATCTACCGATTTAAATGATTCAAAAAACATTCGATTCGTGTTGAAAAATTGGCAAAGGCAGGTCCAGCGGTTTTCGAAATGCAAAAACAGTTTAAAAGGTTATCAATTTGTTGATGCAGTTTTTGAAAGAACTGATCAACCGATTTGAATGTGTAAAAAAAATATATCGCTTGTGTTGGCGGTTTGAAAAAATGATTTGTTTCAAATTAACAGCATTTATAATATTTATTTCAAAATATTTAAAACAATTGTTATTTCTCATTGATCAATTTTTATTGAGCATTGATTAATTTTATTCCTCGAATATTTAGTTACTGATTGAATACGTTGAGATAACTAGTAGATTTACATTATGCTCACATAAGAAACGCACAAATATAAACAACCAGAAAATTAACCGTCTTGTGCGAAGTTGTTTAGATTCATTAATCTATAGTGATAACAGTCGATATTAGATAGTGTCCATAAGAGAAAAGAGAGTAAAATGATAGCGCCCGTAAACCACTAATCACCTGCTTTACTCGCACATCAGTATGAAAATTTTAAATAAAAATGAAAAACTAAATTTGAAATAATTAAAATTTATCCGACCGCCGACGCCTGGCGCCGCTACTGGACAAAAGCCATGCGGTTGCTGTGCATTCGGGCGTTTTTCCCAGGTTGTACGATAGAAAACCTAACCTAGAAACCGCACAAATGTCAACAGATAACAGGTTCTTTCTGACTCCGGTTCATAACATACGAGTGACGTTGCAGTTTACGTGTGAAACGCCTGAATGCACAGCAAATACATGACATTTTGACACTGTTCAGTATGATTCAGTAGCATAATGCATGCAAGTTGGAGCGTAACATGGCGTTGCCATAACATTTGACTATTCTGCGGCAGAATCAGCCCATCCAAAAACAAATAGGCGTAAATACCATTCACGCCTATTTTATTTATAAGTGCAACGCATCCGTACCTATTACAATTTAGAACTGCTTAATTGTGTCTTTAGTGTTGCCATATAATATAAAACAGGTAATCGAGAATAGCGTAAAAAATAAATGTGACCGACAATATGTCTCTTGTGAAAATAACTGCCTCTATGTGAAAATATGTCTCTATGTGAAAATAACTGCCGACAATATGTCTCTTACTATATTTTCTATCTAATAAGGATTTTATTCTAACTCTGGCGACAAAGTTCTTCGATTCGATTCGATTTAAAAATGCTGTAAAAATGTTGAAAATGCTGTAAAAATATTTAAAATGATGTAAAAATGTTGAAAATGCTGTAAAAATGTTGAAAATGGTGTAAAAATGGTAAAAATGCTATAAAATTGCTGTAATTGATCCTAAAATGTTGTAATTAGTTTAAAAATGTTCCAACTGCTCTAAATATACTGCAACTAAAAATGCCGCCGAAAGTAGTTCAAAAATGTTGCAACTCGTCCAAAAATCTTGCAACTGATCCAAAAATTATACAACTTGTCCAAAAATCTTGTAAGTCGTATAAAATGTTGAAAATGGCCTAAAAAGGCTGCAACTGGTTTAAAAATGGTCTGAAAATGTTGCAAGTGGATTTAAAATGCTATGGTGGATTTAAAATGCTGAAATGCTCAAAAAATGTTGCAACTGGTCTGTAAATGTTATAAATGGTCTTAAAATGCTAAAATGGTCTGAAAATTTAAAAAATGCCGTAAAAATGTTAAAAATGTTGTAAGTGGTCTAAAATGTTGCAATGATCTGAATATTTTGCAGTTCGTCTAAAAATATTACAAATGGTCTAAAAATGTTGTAAGTGGTTTTAAAATGTTGCAAGTGGTTTTAAAATGTTGCAGGTGGTCTAAAAATGTTTGCAAGTGGTCTAAAAATGTTAAAAATGGTCTAACAATGTTAAAAATGGACTACAAATGTTAGAAATGGTCTAAAAATGTTACAACTGGTCTGAAAATGTTGAAAATTGTCTAAAATGTTGTATATCGCCTGAAAATCATTTAAAAATGTTGCAAATTCTCTAAAAAAAATATAAACCTAACTGGAAAAACTTCACAATCGATTATTTTTTGTTACTCTTATTTTGCATAACCGTTTAGTTTTGATTGGCTAAAATAATTTGCTATAATAAATAAATTATTATTACAAAAAATCCTTTTACCCATTTTCTATCTAATAAAGATTTTATTCTAACTCTGGCGACAAAGTTCTTCGATTCGATTCGATTTGGCGTCTTTATTAATTTATTTGCAAGGGGGCTGACGGCAAAAGGCGTCCGGCGGGCGCCAAGCC